CCTAAACTGTGAGAAAATAAATTTCTGTACATTAAAGCCACCCACACGTGGTTACAGTAGCACCAGGAAACTAAGATAGGTGCTTTAGACACTTGTGAAAATCTTTCCAACGCTATGGAAATGCACACACATCCAGCTTGTTCAAGGTCAACCCTAATTCTACTCTTAGAAGCGAAACTGAGTTAACTCTGTGTTGTGAATTGAATTGTGTCCCCCCAAAATATGTGTTGTAAATCCTAACCTCTATGCCTGTGGTTATCATCCCATTTGGGAATGGGTTGTCTGTTGCGTTAATGAGGCAGGATAGTGTAGGGTGTATCCTGAGTCAATGTTTTTTGAGCTGAAGAGGTTAAACAAGCAAGCTAGAAGCAAAGATGGAGGAAGATGCAGGGGCGGATTATCCAACAGGCAAGGTAAGCATGGTGCTTACCTTGCTTACCAGATCATCTGTAGTGAACAATTTCACATGAGTTTCACCACATCAAAGATGTGAAACCCATCTGAAATTGTTCATTACAGATTAATACATAAGCACAACTAAGCCGATGCTTACCTTGCTTACTGGGTCATCCGCTCCTGTTAGGGATTGTAAATTTGAAGAGGCTTTGATTCTGTAGGAAGATGTTCTGGGGTTGGGCGAGAGACCGATGCTAACCATACCTAGAAGCAGAATCTTTGATGTTAAAAAATGTGAAATCATTCACTACAGATGATCTGGTAAGCAAGGTAAGCACCGTGCTTACCTTGCCTATTGGATAATCCACCCCTGGGGAAGACAGATGCCAAGCCACATGAAGATAGCCGAGGAGCAGAAGCGCAAAGAGACAAGGACCTTCCCCTCTAGAGCTCACAGAGAAAGCCTTCCCCTAGAGCCAACACCCTGAATTCAGACATCTAGCCTCCTAAACTGTGAGAAAATAAATTTCTGTTTGTTAAAGCCACCCACTTGTGGTATTTCTGTTACAGCAGTACTAGATAACCAAGACACTCTGCCTCTTTTCTACATACTTGTCTTCACATATCTGAAGGCAGTGATCAAGTTGAAGGATATGGCTGTGCTCACTTTCCTAGTAGCTATATCACAAGCTGCCTCAGTATGAATCGCTCCCGTAGCTCAAAGAGTGAAAACTCTGGAGGGCAGGGATTTTTGTCTTTGGGTTCATTGCTGCATTCCCAAAGCCTGCATCAGTGTTCAATACTTGTTGAATGAATAATTGCAATAAGATCCTGAGATATTTATCGTATAAACTGTTCCCAAATTCTTCCATGTTTATGTTGATTTTAAAGAAAACGTCAGCAGGACATTATGTTTAAACTCGATAGTACGTTGACATTTCTCCTTGTTCTTAAGGCAGCGTTGCGGTCCGCCTCTATCGTTTGGATCCATCTCTAATCACGTTAACTATCGCTTCCAGCCATGTGCCATCTGAATATTTGATAAATGATACCAGTCCATTAAATAGTACTGAAGCTGTGCCTGAAATGGGGACAGAGGACTGGAAGGGACAGATGGACCCAGCAGGGGATCATATGCATTTAGAACAGAAGAGGCACCATAGAAATATCCTGAAGCTCAGCGTTAAGCAAAGGTAGAGTGTGTCCAAATCAGGTGTCATTTACCCATTGTCATCGAGCTGATTCCGACTCATAGCAACCCTATTCAGCTAATTTGGGGGACTAGATAACTTTTACTTGGTTTGAGAATAAGGTCCTGGAAAGGGATTCATCTCAGCTGGCATCATGGGAAAATCAGTTAATAGAGTTGTGTACCACTTGTTACTGTTAGGATTGTCAAGTTAGTTCCAAGACATAGTGACCCCATGCACAACAGAACGAAATACTGCCCAGTCCTGCACCGTCCTCACAGTCACTGCTATGTTTGAACCCATTGTTGCAGCCACCATGTCAATCCATCTGGTTGAGGGTCTTCATCTTTTTCACTGACCTCTACTCTACCAAGCATGATGTCCTTCTCCAGGGACTGGTCCCTCCTGATAATATGTCCAAAGTATGTGAGATGAAGTGGCACCATCCTTGCTTCATAGTGCTTAGGAAAATTCAACACAAAACAGCTGGGTTTATCCAACAGGTAAATCAGAGCAACACTCTAATCCTATTTGGTGTTTACATGCTTCCAAATTCTCCCCTTGTAATTTCATGCCTTGTCCTGACACTCATTATTTACTCATCCCTGGATGCCCTGCTCCAACGCTGCATCCTGCATCATTGGAAAAAGTCTACTCATCTTTCAAAGGTCAGATCAAATAGCAACTTTGTAACACTTTCTTTAATACCATATCGCACTCCAAAGAATTAATTCTGTACTGGTATAGCACTTACCTTGTTGTGCTTTAGTTGCTTATACATCGAAAAAGATTAACAAAGTGGTTAAAAGTATACACTCTGGTTCCAGACTGCTTAGATTTAATTCCTGACGTCAGTAAATTACTCAACCTCTCTATGCCTTAGTTTCTTCATCTGTAAAGTGGGGATAAAATAGTATGTACCACTTAAGGGCAATGGTTAAGTTCTGGGTTGCTAATGGAAAGGTTGGCGATTTGAACCAACCCCGACGCTCCGAGGGAGAAAGACCTAGCGATCTGCTTCCATAAAGATTACAGCCTAGAAAACTCTATGGGGCAGTTCTACTCTGTCACACGGAGTCGCCATGTGGTGGAATCGACTTGATGATACCTAACAATAACAACCACCACCTATGTTTATAGCAAGGACTGGTGGCACTGTGGTTAAGAGCTCAGCTGCTAACCCAAAGGTCAGCAGTTCGAATCCACCAGCCACTCCTTGGAACTGCCCTATGGGGCAGTTCTACTCTGTCCTATAGGGTCTCTATGAGTTGGAATTGACTCAGTGGCAATGGGTTTTGGGAAGGAATAATATATATAAAACTCTTAGAACAGTGTCCAGAACATAGTAACTGTTATGGATTAAATTGTGTCCCTCCCCAAAACATGTGTTGGAAGCCTAACCCCTATACCTGTGGAATCAATTTTGTTTGGAAACAGGGTTTTATTTGTTATGTTAAATAGATCAGACCCAAGTAGGGTGGGTTCTAAATGTAATCACTTAGGAGTTACAAAAAGAGCAGTTTAGATGAAGAGATGTGGGGGAGAGAGGACAGACACCATGTGTCTGAGTCATCTAGTGCTGCTATAACAGAAATACCACAAGTGGATGGCTTTAACAGAGAGAAGTTTATTTCCTCACAGTAAAGTAGGCTAAAAGTCCAAATCCAGGGTGTTACCTCCAGGGGGCTTTCTCTCTCTGTCGGCCTTTTCATTGATGTTCCCCTGGACTAGGAGCTTCTCCTCACGGGGACCCCGAGCCCAAAGGAAGCAGTTTGCTCCCGGTGCCTCTTTCTTGGTGGTACAAGGTCCCCCACTCTGTGCTTGCTTCCCTTTCCTTTTATCTCTTGTAAGATAAAAGGTGGTGCAGGGCACACCCCCGGGAAACTCCCTTTACATTGGATCAGGGATGTGACCTGGGTAAGGGTATTATAATCCCACCCTAATCCTCTTTAACATAAAATTACAATCACAAAATGGAGGACAACCACACAATACTGGGAAACATGGCCTAACCAAGCTGACAGATATTTTTGGGGGGACATAATTCCATCCATGTCACCATGTGAGAATCGTCTACAAGCCAAGGAACCAAGGAACACTCAAGACTACCAACAGGAAGGAATCAACACAGCCGAGGCTTTGATTTGAATCTTTAGCCTCCAGAGCTGTGAGAAGATAAAATTCTGTTCTTTAAAGCCACCCACTTGTGGTATTTATGTTACAGTAACGCTAGGTGACTAAGACAGTAATTACTCAATGTTGTTAGGTGCTGTGGAGTCGATTTGACTCATAGTGACCCCATGTGACAGAGTAGAACTGCCCCATAGGGTTTTCTAGGCTATAAACTTTACAGGAGCAGATTGCCAGGTCTTTCTCCCAAGGTGCCATAGGGTACATTTGAACGACCATACTTTTGATTAGCAGCTGAGTGCTTAATCATTGCGCCACCCAAAAGCTGTTACCGTCCAGTCAATTCTGACTCATAGCGACTCTATATGATAGAGTAGAACTGCCTCATAGAGTTTCCTAGAATAATCTTTATGGAAGCAGAATGACATGTATTTCTCCCACAGAGCCGTTGGTGGGTTCGAACCGCCAACATTTTGGTTAGCAGCCAAGTACTTAACCACTGCACCACCCAAAAACAAAACAAAACCCATTGTCTTTGAGATGATTCCAACTCATAGTGACCCTGTAGGACTGAGTAGAACTGTTCCACAGGGTTCCAAGGAGCGGCTGGTAGATTTGAACTGCCAACCTTTTGGTTAGTAGCCCAACTCTTAACCAGCGTGCCACCAGGGCTCCTCTGTGTCACCAGAGCTCCCTGATTACTCAGTGAATGTTAGTAAATAACATTTATCATTCTTAATGTTATTGCTGCTATCTGATTCCTATGTCATGTGAAACTATCAGGTGTTTCTGAAGGGTGAGGATATTGTCGTATTCTTCTTCACATCCCAACCTAATATTGTGTGGAACAGACCAGAAATCTGTAGACATTTATTGGGGTATACAATACCTTTTATTTAGAGTGCTGTATAAGATACAAAGGCTGGCAACGTTATCATCCATTTAAACCTCACAATAACCTTATGAGGTCGTTTTTATCCCGGTTTTCAGATGAGGAAATTGCCGAGTGGACATTCAGTGAATTGTTCAATGTCACACACAGCTGGTAAGTGACAGAAGTGAGGCCTGAACTGAGGTCTCCAACTCCAAGGCTAGGAGGACCACTTCAACCACAGGTGAGTGGGAGACGCCAGGGATTCTAGTAGAATTTTTCCTTCTGGCTCCATCCTTCCTCCTTCCACTTCCTTCTTCTTCTAACTTTCAAGAACATGGACATTCTGGAGTGTGAAGGCTGCAAAGATAAGTGAGGTCTCTATTCACACTACAAAATGATTTAGAACAGAGTGTGAGCAGGAGACGGCTATTAATACAAGATGTCCTCTGCCGTGACCGTTGCCTCTTCTACTTTGGTCTTTATCTCAGGGAGGGGAATTTGGCTGATCGCCACCACAACCAAGTTTGCCGCGTGGGCTGAGGCGCTGGCCACGCAGATCCAGAACGACTCTTCATACTGTTCTTCCACCACCACAAACTGAAAGAGCTTCTCCTGAAAGTTGGCGATCCGTTCTGTCAGGTTGTGAAATTTCACCGCGGCCACGAAGCTCGTGATGGCTAATGCCACAACTCCACCTGAAACCCAAAAACGGTGCCCTCATTCACAGCAAAGTTTTGCAGTGGTGACAACTGTACGTAAGGTAGCATTTCTGTGGCACATATACAAAACTCACTTTGTGTTTAAAAATTATCAACCAGTAACCACTTGTCGAGTCGATCCCAACTCATGATGACCCCATGTGTGTCAGAGTAGAACTGTGCTTCACAGGGTTTTCTTTTTTATTTTATTTTATTTACTTTTTGTCATTGTTGAGAATATACACAGCAGGATATACCCATTCAACAATTTCTACATGTACAATTCAATATCATTAGTTACAGTCTTCAAGTTGTACAACTGTTCTCACCTTCCTTTCCCAAATTGTTCCTCCCCTATTAACATAAAGTCACAGCGTCCAATGCTTTCTATCTAACTTTTCAAGTTGCTGTTGTCGGTTTGATCCCATATAGATCTTAAAAGAGCACAATACTCAAGGCAGACTGTAGGCTTTTCAATGGCTGATTTTTTTAAAGTAGATCGCCAGGCTTCTGAGGTGGATTCGAACCCCCAAACTTTCGGTTAGCAGCCAAGTGCATTAACCATTTGCACCACCTAGGGACTCCCTAAAAATTATTAGGGCAATAAAAATTTCAATTTGCTTCTTAAAGCAGTAGCTGACCTGATAGCATGAGGTGCAAGAGGCAGGGTTGTGTAGGTGAAAGAGAATAAGCTTCATATCAGACCGACTTTGAACTCAATCCTCTAATTTTTACCTCTTTCTGAGTACCATCTTTTCCAGGAGAGTTGCATTTGGAGAAGTTCACTCTCTAAATATCTCAGGATGCTCGAGGCACTTGCTCTGCAACCTTGGTAGGCCCCGAGGACCAGGTGGGAAGACGTAAGGACACCTTGCCACGCAGGATGGGCTTTCAAACTAGGGCTAGACTATTGCTCTCCTGTGTAATTCTCTCTTTGCCGTGCTTAAGGATGAGAAGATAAGATAAGAGGAGAGCCTGAGAAGGAGGAAACGGAAGTTGAGAGGGGAAAACTGAAGGGATTCCAAGCCCCACAAACTTCCCTACTTGTTGCTTGAAATCTTGATGTTCTGGATCTCTCTGTCTCTCTCTTCTATTTTCAACTGCTTTAATTTTAATTATTAAAAAAAAACTATTATGCTTTTCCAGAATCTTTGTTAAAAACAATTTGGACCTCTGAGAAAATCATAAAGAAGAAAACACAAATTTACTTTTATCCTAAAAGCCAGATATAAACACTTTCAACACTTTAACATATTTATTTATATTTCTCTCTCTTCAACGAAAATTGGTATTAAGAGGTTCTTATGTTTACTTCAAAAGGAGCCCTGGTGGTGCAGTGGTTAAGCGCTCGGCTGCTAACTGAAAAGTCAGTGGTTCGAACCCACCAGCTGCTCCACGGGAGAAGGATGTGGCAGTCTGCTTCTCTAAAGATTACAGCCTTAGAAACCCTATGGGGCAGTTTCACTCTGTACTGTAGAAACCCTGGTGGCGTAGTGGTTTAGGGTTCTGCTGTTAACCAAAAGATCGGCAGTTTGAATCCACCAGACCCTCCTTGGAAACCCTATGGGGCAGTTCTATTCTGCCCTATAGGTTGCTATGAGTTGGAATCAACTTGACAGAAATGGGTTTTTTGGGTTTTTTATAGGGCCGCTATGAGTTAGAATTGATTCAGTGGCAGTGGGTTTTAACTCTATGGGGCAGTTCTACTCTGTCATAAGGTTGCTATGAGTTGGAATCAACTCGATGGCACATTAACAACAACAACAACATGTTTGCTTTGAACTTGTCATCAGGGAAGGCCGATCACTAGAAAAGGACATCATTTTGGTAAAATAGAGGGTCAGTGAAAATGAGGGAAACCCTCAATGAGATGGATTGACATGATAGCTGTAACAGTGGACTCATACATGTCAATGACTAGGAAGATGATGCAGGACTGGGGAACATTTTGTTGTTATACATCAGGTCACCACGAGTTGGAGGCAACTCAATGGCAACTAACAACTGTTTTAAAATAGCTTTTTTCCTATTTCATTAAACATTCTTTTACAGCACAATTTTAAAGTGGCACATAATATTTCATTCTAGGTATGCACTATAACTTATTTAAGCATGAACTTATTTCTGGCTGGATATTTAGCTTTCTAATTTTTTGGTGTTATAAAGGGCTGCAGGAGCCCTGGTAGCCCAGTGGTTAAAGCGCTCAGCTGCTAACCCAAAGGTCCGAGGTTCAAACCCATCAGCCATTCCACGAGAGAAAGACGTGGCAGTCTGCTTCCTGTAAAGATTTACAGCCTGGAAACCCTATGGGGGCAGTTCTATTCTGTCCTATAGGGTCGCTATGAGTCAGAATTGACTCGATGGCAGTGGATTTTTATAAAGGGCTGTGGTGAACACCCTTTTATGTACATCTTTGTGCCCTTGTCCAGTTATTTCCTTAGCTTAAATCTCTATGTGGAGTTGCTCAGTCAAAGGTTATTTACATTTTTTTGATACTGAAGTTTTGTGATACATCCTTTTTGTTTATATTCTCATCAGTAAAGTATGAGAGTGCTCTCTCTGAGGGAGGAAATTGACACAGGTAAGCATTTATTTAATAAACAGGATTGAACATTGATTACATTCCAGCTGTATGAGGATTCATGCAGAGATAAGTGAGACAAGTTAGTCTAGACGAGGTTAGCCATGCATTATGAGTCAGTCTGCAAACTTAAGTGAATACATAATAATCGATTTATCAATATCATATTAAAATACGTGATAAAATCACAGGATTTCTGTTTTCATACTTTGTGGTCACCCTGTATAAGGTGAAGGTAAAACCAGTTGCTATTGAGTCAGTTCCAACTCATGGTGACTTCACGGGTGTCAGAGTAGAACTGTGCTCCATAAGGTTTTCCTGGCTGTGGCCTTTTGGAAAAAGATCACCAGGCCTTTCTTCTGAGGTGCCTCTAGGTGGGTTTAAACTGCCAACCTTTTAGTTGGTAGCCACATGTCTAACTATGTGCACCACTCAGGAACTCCTAAGGTGAAGGAAGTGAGGGATTATTTCCATAGTGGTACCATGACCATTTGACCTGGATTTTCTGAGATAGCCCTCATTTCTTGGGATTTTGTTGTTTTCATTACAGATTATTTAAATGCTTGATTAAATGTGAATTATTTTCTGTGTATCAGTATACTCCCAAATCAACACACATATATACCATGTCTTTTGTCCTAGGTTTTGGCTCAGAAAATAGTTGTAAATGAGACCATGGATTAGCGAAATGACAGAGGGCTTAGAATCAATTACAGCTGTCCCTGGATTTGAATCTCACCTCTGCTACTTACAGTTGTGTGATCTTGGACATGCCTTTTAATTTCTGTGAGCCTCGAGCTTTTCATCTGTAAATATGGGTCTAATAATACCTCTTCACAGGTGGTTGTGAGGTTTAAGTGAAATAAAGCACAGAAAATCCCCAGGTCCAACACCCATGGAAGCAGCAGTCAAGAAATCAAAAGATGCATTGCATGAGGCAAATCTGCTGCAAAAAACCTCTTTGAAGGGTTGAAAAGCAAAGATGTCAACTTGAAGGCTAAGGTGCACCTGACCCAAGCCATAGTATTTTCAATCTTATCATATGCATGTGAAAGCTGGACAATGAATAAGGAAGAGCGAAGAAGAATTGACGCCTTTGAATTGTGGTGTTGGTGAAGAATATTGAATATACCATGGACTGCCAAAAGATCGACGACATCCGTCTTGGAAGAAGTACAACTAGAATGCTCCTTAGAAGCAAGGATGGCGAGACTACATCTTACATACTTTGGACATGTTGTCAGAAGGGATCAGTCCCTGGAGAAAGACATCATGCTTGGTAAAGTACAGGGTCAGCGAAAATGAGGAAGACCCTCAATGAGATGGATTAACACGGTGGCTGCAACAATGGGCTCAAGCATAACAACGATTGTGAGCGTGGCGCAGGACCTGCAGTGTTTCATTCTGTAGTACATAGGGTCGCTACGAGTTGGAATCGACTCGACGGCACCTAACAACAACATGCCTGGCACTTAGTAGATGCTTGGTAAAAGGCACCTAGCATAAAAGGGGAGTCCCTGGGTGGTGCAAATGGTTAAAATGCTCGGCTGCTAAATGAAAGGTTGGCAGTTCAAGTCCACCCAAAGGCACCTCAGAAGAAAGGCCTGGGGATCTACTTCTCAAAAATCTGCCATTGAAAACCCAGCACAGCTCTGCTCTGACACACATGGGGTCATCATGAGTCAGAATTGACTGGAGGGCAACTGGTAGTATAAGGGGGTGGTACAGCAAAGAGGCCCGGGGAAGTGAGGAAGAGGGAGAGTTCAGACTCAGCCAAAGAGCCACATCTGGCTTAATTTGCCCAGGGGGGAAACACTAAAGGCATTGGCAGCTAGGCGGCGCTCATTTCCCCCTTCTCAGCCCAGCCTGGCTGGACTAGCCCTTTGGTAGTTGGCCCTCCTGCCCACACCACCTGTCTCCTCTGTCCTCTCTGTGGAGGTTCTTCCAGCCTCAGCAGCAGCAGCTCCATCTCCTTACCTCCTCCTAGTCCCTGCCTCTCCCATTCCCAGATCTCCATCTTCTCTCTTCTCCTCTCACTCTGAAGTGGGGTGACTAACCAGTAAACTAGTTGCTATGGAGTTGATTCCAACTCAGGATGACCCCACGTGTGTCAGAGTAGAATTATGTTCCATAGGGTTTTCAATGGCTGATTTTTCAGAAGTAGATCGCCAGGCCTTTCTTCTAAGGAGTCTCTGGGTGACGCAAACCTCCAACCTTTTGGTTAGTAGCAAGCACGCTAACCGTTTGTACCACCAGGGACTTCTCTGAAAGGTTAATAGTGTCCCCCCTCCCCGCCAAAATTCACATCCACCCAGAATCTGTGAGTGTGACTTTATTTGGAAATAGGGCCTTTTCAGATTGATCAAGTCCAAATGAGGTCATGCTGGATTAGAGCGGACCTAATCCAAGGACTACTGTCTTTATAAGAAGAGAGAAATTTGGAGACACAAAGATACACACAGGGAAGACAGCTGTGTGAAGGCGGAGGAAGAGAGTGGAGTGATGCAGCTACCAGCCTTGGAACGCCAAGGATTGCTGGCAACCACCAGAAGCTAGAAGAGGCAAGAAAAGAATCTTCCCTAGAGTCTTCAGAGGGAGAATGGTCCTGCTGACACTTCCATTTTGGACTTCTAGCCTCCAGCCCTGTGAGAATAAATTTCTGTTATTTCAAACCACCGCATTTGTGTTACTTTGTTACAGGAGCCCAGGGAAAGGAATATACTTAGCTGCTTGCTCTCAATCCTAAACATACTAACAATTTGGTTCTTCATTGTGACAGACTACAACTTTCAGTAAAGGGGAAATCTGTGCCCATTGAGAAGGTCACAGACCCAGGGAAGTGAAGGCTGAAAGAGTGGAGGGCATTTTAATTCCTTCACACCCTCCGTCCAACTACTTGGAGCCTAGTCTGGGGATGGAGTGGACATAGATTTCTTTTTCTACGTGCTTTCCTTACCTGCAAGAACATTCCACAGGCAGATGCCCCCAGGGCCATTGACTGCCCGGCATGGGACCTGAATCATGTTGAGAATGGCAAATCCCATGCTGATTAGTGCCAGGGCCAAGGCCAGCAAGAGGAGCAGCAGAATCATCACGTGAAGGCCTGCGTTCAGCTCCTTCACCAGGTGTGGGAAAACTGGGGAGAGAAGAGATAGTCCATATTTTAATGTCTGAGCTCAGCTCACTTCCATAAAGCCCAAACTATGCTTACCACTGATCTGTCAGTGTGTCATACTGTGGTGGCTTGCATGTCACTATAATGCGGGAAGCTGTGCCACTTATATTTTAAATACCAGCAGGTTCATTCTTGGTGGACAGATTTCAGTGGAACTTCTAAATTAGGACAGATTAGGAAGAAAGGCCTGGCGATCAACGTCCAAAAATTAGCCAATAACAACCTTATGGATCACAACAGAATATTGTCCCATATAGTGCTGGACGTGAAGGCCCCTAGGTTGGAAGGCACTCAGAATACACAGTGGCCACAATGATAGACTCAAGCATACCAATGATTGTGAAGAGCTGGACTCGACTAGCCGCAAGCAGAACCATTTACAGAGTAGAGGCGTGGGTGTCTCATTCAATCCTTATGATTAAGGTAGATTTTATTAACCCTCAAAAGAGCCCTGGTGGCACAGTGGTTAAGTACTCAGCTGCTAATTGAAAGGTCAGTGGTTCAAGCCTACCAGCTGCTCCGAGGGAGAAAGATATGAGAATCTGCTTCTGTAAAGATTGCAGCCTTCGAAACCCTATGGGGCGGTTCTACTCTGTCCTGCCGTAGAGTCGATTCTGACTTGTAGCAACCCTCTAGGGCAGAGTAGAGCTGCCCCATAGGGTTTCCAAGGAACAGCTGGTGGAGTCGAACTGCCAGCTTTTTGGTTAACAGCTATAGCTCTTAACCACTGTGCAATGAAAGCTAAAGAACTCTTGAGCATACCTGCTCCACTGAAACTACTCTAAGGCTTCTGGACAAATCTGGGCCCATCTTTTGAGTTCTCGAGCTTTCTGTGCTTCATTTGATACCTCTGACCAGTCCGTCCTTGGTTCGGCATTGGAGCCAGGGCTCAAAGCTTTCCCGGTTCTCTCTCTCCTCTGACCCTTTCCCCTCTGGCTCCTTTGCTGGCTCACCTGCCTCCTTTTATTCACTGGAGGTTGGTATCTCCCAAACTTCAGAGCTAAACTTTCTGTTCTTCCATACGGTGTCCTTTCCACTCACAAGTTTCTGGATGCTCCACGTTTATGCCCTTGGTTCTGACCTTTTTTTCTTTCTGGTTTTGCATTTCCATTTCTTTTTATCTCCGCGTGGTTATCTTACCAACATTAGAAACTGTATCTTGGAAAATGAGCTCCTTTCCAAGGGAATTTTCTCATGAAGGCTTCTATCTTCTTTTCACTTCCCTTCCAACCCAGGTCTCTTAGATTTGTTTTTCTGTTTCCAAACCCCCAGCCCTTTCTTTTTCCGAACACTCTACCTTTGATTACCTACTTGGTTTGTTACCCCGTTTCTTGCCCATCTAATCTGTAGGACACATGACCAACACAGTAACCCTTACCAAACACTTCAAATAGATAATAGTCACCTACAGACTGGCAAAAATCAAATCATCATCCATACACAGTGTTGATGATGGTGTGGAGAAAGAGGTGTTCTCATACCTTGTGAGAATATTAATTCACACAACCTCTTTAGAAAGCAATTTGGCAACATCTGTCAAAGCAATTTCACTGCCAGGAATTTAGTTTTCAGAAACATTCCCATATATGCTCCAAGATGTATATATCGGATATTCATTATCATAGCAAAAGACTTGAGAAAAACCAAAATGTGAATCGATAGGAGATTGGTTTACTAAATTAAGGTACAACCACACAATGAAGCTTTTAAAAAGAAGCTAATCATATCCGTAAGGAGCCCTGGTGACACAGTGGTTAAGCGCTCAGCTGCTAACTGAAAGGCTCCATGGGAGAAAGACCTGGTAATCTGCTTCTGTAAAGATTCCCATTGCCATCAATTCAATTTCGACTCATAGCGACCCTGTAGGACAAAGAAGAACTTCCCTACAAGGTCTCCAGGGCTGTAATCTTTATGGAAGCAGATTGCCACATTTTTCTCCAGCAGGGCAGGTGGTGGATTTAAACCACCAACCTTTCAGCTAGCAGCTGAGCTGCTTAACCACATGGCCTCCAGGGCTCCTTTCCATAAAGATTACAATCTAGAAAACCCTACGGGGGCAGTTCTACTCTGTCACATGGGGTCACTATGAGTCTGAATTGCGTCAATGGCACCTAGCAACAACAACAATCATATCCATATACTGATACAAAACTGTCTCCAGATTTGATTTAATAAAAAGTCAAGCATAACCATATTAAGACAATATTGGAGAAGAAGTTTTGGACAGATGGAATGATGTGGGAAAGGGTGGTGAAAGACCTTATCTTCCATAGTTGGAAGTGTATTAACAATTTTTTTAAAATAAACTTTATTGGCAAAGGCTGAATCTCATTTAACTCCTGCGATCACGTGCCATACCCTAACGTTCAGGATCTCCTAGTTAATTGAGATCTTACTTATTTTCATATATGTCATATTTTAGAAATTCAGATTTTTTTTCACCAGTTTTAATGCATCAGTTTCTTCTATTAATTAATTATTTTTGGCTTGCTAGCTCCACATTGTTGCCATCAAGTTGACTCCAACTCAGGGTGACCCCATATATGCAGAGTAGAATTGCGCTCCATAGGGCTTTCAAGACTGTGACCTTTTGGAATGAAATCACCAGGCCTTTCTTCTAAGGCACCTCAGGGTGGGTTTGAACCACCAACCTTTTGACTGGTAGTAGCACTTAACCGTTGGTACCACCCCAGCACTGGATTGACATGGTTGCTGCAACAACAGGCTGAAACATAGTAGTGATCATGAAGATGGTGCAGGACCAGGCAATGTTTCATTCTGTTGTACATAAAGCTGCCATGAGTCAGAGCTGCCTTGACGGCAACCAACAACAACAACAAATCCACGTTTGGTCTGTCACACAGTGTTGTCCCAGGAAAGCTGTTGCTCACTTGCCTTTCATATTTGCACCCAGTTTCCAAAAGTCTGTAGGTATCTTTGGCTTTAGGAAATAATTCAAGTTTCCAGGTTGAAATTTATGGCCATGGTGATAAATGACAATGGCTGCATATACAGATACATACTATGTGCCAGGGACTTTATATGAATTATTTCTTTTATGCCTCCTGCACCTGGTGATCCTTTCTCACTTTTACAAATGAGGAAACCAAAACTCAGAGAAGCTAAATAGCTTAGCCAAGGTCACACAGCCAGGAAGTGCTGGATTAACTACTCTGCAACAAAGACCTACATTGTAGAAAGAGATATCTGTAGAAACAGATAAGCAATGGTTTAAAAAATTAATTATAGTATAGCTTGAATTCTAGAGGTCTTACTTTGAACTTTAAAAATACTCTTATTTTGTACACATTAGAGCAATCTGTAGAAATACAGCCAGAATGTCCTTAGAAGCAAGGATGGAGAGACTTTGTCTTGCTTACTTTGGGCACGTCATCAGGAAAGACCAATTGCTAGAGAGGACATCACGTTTGGTAAAGCGGAGGGTCAGCGAAAACGAGGGAAACTCTCCATTAGATGGATTTACATGATAGCCTCACCAATGGGCTCCAGTATATCAAAGATCATGAAGATGGTGTGGGACCAGGGAACGCTTCATTCCCATACTCCTGGGGTTGCCATGAGTCACAGCCAACTTCACGGCAACTAACAACAACAACCAGAGCTACCTCACTTGAGCAGTTCATCCTATCAGCATCTAAAGCTATTAGATAATTTGCTCCTGGTCTCAGAGAAGTTTAGCAGTCTCTTTTGCCAACAGCATGGCATTTGAAGTCAGACCCAGGTCCTGGCTGTTGATGGGCTACTTGTTATGGTGGGAGGTAAGGAGGAAACCAGAGAACTAGAAACTGCAAAGCACCTACTCTATACTAGGTACTACATAGGTGCTTTTCCAGAAATTATTTCAGTTATTGATTTCTCTGATCCCCTATTTTCTCATCAGTGAAATGGGTATAATAAAATCTCTCCCCTAGTGTAGTAAGGATTGAAGGAAATGAACCACGTGAGGACGACTTGAGATAGTAACGTACCAAGAGCTGGGTAAATATAACTATGCCCAGAGAGTCCAGGCCAGTGCGCTCATGGTCATCAATATAACTATGCCCAGAGAGT